CTCATCATGTCTAAGGGCAGAGGCCAAAGCAATAACTTACGTGCCACTAGTCAGTAAGACTTGATTTAAATCATTTATTTTTTTTTACAGAAAGACTCATTCTTGCTGGTATAATCTTAACATTTACAACCCACTGAAGGTTTCATTTTTAATAATAAATTTTCAGAGTAGTTTTTACAGTTATATCAAAAGTTAGTGGTATAAGCTTCCGTGTGCATGCACACTTCTTCAGATACAGTGAAACAGAAGTCACCGGACCCTTATATCTAGTGGGAGGGTGGAGTGGGGCTTTTCTCAGAAGGGTAGTAGGAGATGGGTGATTAACTCAATGGTTATGAGAAGAAGAAGAAGAAGAAGAAGAAGAAGAAGAGGAGTTTGGATTTGATATCCCGCCTTTCACTCCCCTTCAGGAGCCTCAAAGCGGCTAACATTCTCCTTTCCCTTCCTCCCCCACAACAAACACTCTGTGAGGTGAGTGGGGCTGAGAGACTTCAAAGAAGTGTGACTGGCCCAAGGTCACCCAGCAGCTGCATGTGGAGGAGCGGAGATGCGAACCCGGTTTCCCAGATTACGAGACTACCGCTCTTAACCACTACACCACACTGGCTGTGGATGACTGTTAACGACTGCAATTAGTCCTACTGGAAAAAGCAAAGGATAGTATGCAGATGACCAAAAATAGCTTTAAGAAATGTAACGAGACAAGAATGCAATATCTCTATTCAGACCAGGTCCCTCTATAGTTTTCCGTTTAGTAATACTAATGCTTCAAGAGGTTATGGCGGGCATGTCCAAAGTGCATTTTGGGGGACTAAAAAACTGAACAACTTTAATCCTAAAAAAAGGTCAACAACTTCACTTCATCAAATCTGGCCCTCAGATAACCGCAGTGGGTTATGGTGTCTTTCCCCAGTGGGTTATGGTGTCTCACCGCTGTCACAATTTGTTTGTGGCTGAATCACAGAGCCTCTTCGGCGTGATACCACCCCCACGATAAATGGGGTTGCAACGTTTTTGAAGAGAAATAGGCCAACCTAGCAGTTCTAAAGCACGTCAAAGTGCAAGTAGATAAATAGGTACCGCTCCAGCAGGAAGGTAAACAGTGTTTCTATGCGCTGCTCTGGTTCGCCAGAAGCGGCTTAGTCATGCTGGCCACATGACCCGGAAGCTGTACGCCAGCTCCCTTGGCCAATAAAGCGAGATGAGCAGCGCAACCCCAGAGTCGGCCACAACTGGACCTAATGGTTATCTTTCCTATTTTTCCGCACCTTTAAAGCCTGCTTCCCCCATGCTCACAGCATTATGGGGCTATGCAAATAAGCACCGAGACTCTCCCTGCAGCAGAAGTGGAGGAGGAAAAGAGGCTTGGCGAGTGAGGAGGACCTTAGTGCTGCAATGCCAGAGTGAAAAGGAGGCACTTCTGAGTAAACTTGGTCCCCACTGCCACTTTTGGTGAAAGAAATTCCTGTTGACTTTCAAGAGCTGTGCTCTTTTATGACAGCAATAATCAGGACTGCAACACGGCTTCCTTCGTGCAGAGTTTCCAAACAGAATAGTTGTGAATCATTTCACACTAATTCAGCTTAACCAAAGTTTAAAGGAACTCCTTTTAAGCACTGGTAACAGGACGAAGGGACGCGGGTGGCGCTGTGGGTAAAAGCCTCAGCGCCTAGGGCTTGCCGATCGAAAGGTCGGCGGTTCGAATCCCCGCGGCGGGGTGCGCTCCCGTCGTTTGGTCCCAGCGCCTGCCAACCTAGCAGTTCGAAAGCACCCCCGGGTGCAAGTAGATAAATAGGGACCGCTTACAAGCGGGAAGGTAAACGGCGTTTCCGTGTGCGGCTCTGGCTCGCCAGAGCAGCGATGTCACGCTGGCCACGTGACCCGGAAGTGTCTCCGGACAGCGCTGGCCCACGGCCTATAGAGATGGGCGCACAACCCTAGAGTCTGGCAAGACTAGCCCGTACGGGCAGGGGTACCTTTACCAGGACGAAATTTAGAATGCTCTGGTCTACTTTTCACAACCATTGGCGGCCCGCCATTGGGCCTCCAAAAATTGAGGCTAAAAGCCTATCCAAACAGGACATATCGTCCCATTCATACTTCTACAAACTTCTTTTTTTGCAAACATGGCTACAGAATCCGCGACTCTTCTTCATATTATGGTGACATATCCGGGATTGTTCATTGCACACTGAATCCAGGAGCCACGGAAGCAGAATATGGCCCAGTTGTTCGCTAACGTGAAAGAAATCTCCAGAGAAACATTACCATTGGGGTTTTTTCCCGCTTCACAGGGCGCACAAGGAATCCTGGGCAATGCAAATCAGCCTCTGCGACCCACTGCGCAGGTCCGAGGAGCAGCGTGGGTGGGATCTGGGTAAGGAAGTAAAGGTTCCTCCCTGAACTGGGCTCGACTGGCAGATCGGTGGATTTTAGACTTACCGGATGTAGAGGAGCTTGCTTCAGAGCAAACGTGCGAATTCAAATGCCGCACTCATTATTGTAGAGTTGGAAGAGACCCCAAGGGTCATTTAGCTGAATCCCCTACATTTCTCTCTCTTTCTGTTCATATATATACATACATATATATATATAGAGAGAGAGAAATTAATTCTGAATGAACTGGTGCATCTTCGGGGGAGAAGGCAGTCTTGGGCTGCAACACCACCCAAATTTACTCAGCAGGAACCCAACTCTCTTCCTCTGTGCAAAGTTTCCAATGCACACAGGCGGAAGGAAGCCTCACACGCGGAAGGTCATTTGCAGAGCACCGAGACTGCAGGGGGGGACGGTTCCTTTATGCAGGCGCCCTCTCGCCACAGTTGGCGGAGGAGAAAGCGCTAATTACAGAATTAAAGGGGTGCGCGAGAATGAACGCCAAGAAAACTGGAGAGCAGGCAATCGGGATTCTCACACTTTGACAAGAAGCATCCTGCTAAATAAATTGCAGTGCTATAAAATATAATTTCTTGCTTCCCCAACAGCCGCTAAAATCAAATTTAAGTGGAGGGGACGATCTTTTCCGATACCTGCAACCTTCCACTCAAATACTCTACTTTCCAGCTCAGAATTTTCCAAACTTCTCATGTAAGCGATCACTTCTACTATCAATTCCAAGATTAAAGGCTCCGCCTTCTAGGTTTACTAAAAGCACGAAAATCACAAAAAAACTACCCTATATATTCTAACTATTGCTAGCCTGCTATTCGGCCTCCAAAAATTGGATTAGACATGAGGTCCCAATCCACAGACCTCAGCATCCCAAATTCACAAACCGAAACCTCAGCGTTTGCGAACGTGACTACAAAACCGGCGACTCTTCTTCATGTTATGGTGACTCAATTTTTCGGATTGTTTATTGCACACTGACTCCAGGAGCCACTGGATCAGAATACGACCCAGCTGTTCGCAAGCGTGAAAGAAATCTCCAGAGAAACACTGCTATTGTGTTTCCCCCCCTACACGGGGCGCGCAAGGAATCCTGGGCAATGTAAATTAGCCTCTGCGACCCACTGCGCAGGTCCGAGGAGACGCGGGGGTGGGATCGTGGTAAGGAAGTAAAGGCACCTCCCTGCACTGGGCCCGATCCGCAGTTAGGTGGATGTTAGACTCGCCAGGTGTAGAGGAGCTTGCTTTAAAGCAAACGTGCGAATTAAAACGCCGATCACTTCCTCGTAATCCTTGCAGGTCATTATTACCCTCCAATCGGTATATTTCTAATGCATATTTTAATAATGCAACAATACTTTTTTATTCACCCACCGAGGCTGCGCTTCGTCCGCTGCCAGAAAGGCCCTTCGAGGACCGGTCCTCTTTTGCCAGCAGAACCCGCGATGGCCACCAATTTGGATGGCTTTAAAAGAGGATTAGTCTAATTCATGGAGGAGAGAGGGATGCTAGACGGGCCATTGCAAGCACTTCTTACGTAGCGGGGGGGGGGGGGAGAGGGCGCTTGTTCTTTCAGGGATCCCTCATCAAAAGTGCTTAGCTTCCTCACTGTGTCCTTGTCACAATTTTTGTGTTTCCAGGAGCACGGATTGATACCGCCGCTTTCTTACTACATGCTAATAAACTTATAGTTATAGCTGTCAACGTTTCCTTTTTTTAAAAGGAAATTCCCTTATTCCGAATAGGATTCCTAGCAAGAAAAGGGAAAAGTTGACAGCTATGCTTATATTTCATATTAGAACAAGGCATGGCCCACTCTCTGGCTTCCAAAAACTGGGAAGTCCTACAAAGGAATGTCCTCCATCCCATTTGCCAACTACCCCAGTAGATTTTTGCAGGTGTCTCCTAAGAATGAGGGTCGCTTGCGCAGGGTTTCCCGAACTTGGTTCTCCAGATTTTTTTCGGGGGACTACAATTCCCATCATCCCTAACCACTGGTCCTGCTAGCAAGGGATGATGGGAGTTGTAGTCCGAAAACTGCTGGAGACCCAAGTTTGGGGCACACTGCATTATGGCAGTTTCCCCACGGTAACTGCTCGTTTACCACGTAGTCGCGCCGTTAATAAAGCAAGACCCCGTTCCCACCAAACGCGGTCTACCCGCTGGCGAGAACGCAAAAAACTATCGCCGGAATAGTTTCATTTCGCTTTCCCCGTCGCAGAGCATCATGGAATATGCCAACGATTACTGTGCAAGACTTTCCGGGCCCCTCCAAGAGGGCAGTATTTCGCATTCAGGTTTACTAAACAAGTCATTTACGAGGCTTACTCCTTCGTAACCATGAATAGGGAGCAGTTTCTTCTTAAAAAAAAAAAAAATCGCCGTCCTTCCTGTCAGCCGTGCCCCATTCCAAAATGGGCGCTGAAGCGACACCGTCCTACTGCCCTGGCAATCTGCCCTCAGCCAAGATGGTCGCTGGGGGGCGGAGAAGAGCGTGATTAAGAGAGAGAGAGAAGGGGAGGGAGGGGTGGGCGTGGCTTGCATATTACTTATTCCCACGATCGGGGATTGGCTGCCCCGCTTCTAATCGGGGGACGTTGAAGAAGGCCGCGTTGCTACGTTTCTCTCCAGGCCTGCTCCCCGCCTCAGCCGAGCTTAACGGTTGGCCGGAGGACGCGAGGCTGCCCTTTCGTTGCGATTGGCTTCGGCGCCGTCACTCCACCCTTCCGCCCGCCCCCCCGTCTTCCCCGCCCCATCCTCCTCCTCCTCTACAGTGTCTCTCGGCTCGCTCGCTGGCTGGGCCTGAGGCAAGAGCCGTTTCGCAGGCCGCGTGAGGGGAGGGGGCTCCGCGCTGCTGCTGCCGCTGCCGCCGCCTCTGCGACAGGCCGGGGTGATGCTGGGACCCAGGAGGGAGCCGGCGCGGCGCTGAGGAGGAGGCAGAGAGATGCGCCGGCCTTCCAGCGCCGCCAGCCTCCGCGGCCGCCTCCAACGGCCCTGAGCCGCCGCTTAGTAGGTGAGCTCGGCTGGGCGGACTAGACCGGGGGGGGGGTCGCCGTGAGGGGAAAAGAGGGAGCGGGGAGGCCTGGCCAGCCTGCCCAACAACCCACCCTTCCCCCCAGGAAGGCCCCGTCGTGGGGAGGGCGACCTGCCTGGGCTGCCACTTCCCGCCCCCGCAGGGAAATGTTAACGGGACGGGAGGGAGGCGGCCGAAATACCCACACCCCCGCCACCGCCCCCCTCCAAAAAAATAAATAAAAATGCAAAGGCTTTGCAGCTTTAAGGGGCATAATGCTCCTGACTCTACGGTGGCCATGAAAGATAAGCTTTATACTGCAGAACGCCGCCTTTCATTCATTCATTTTGCAAGTTGGAAAGGTGAGGAGGGGGCTTAATGTGAAATTAATGCTGCCTCTGGTCTTGAGCACGAAGGGGCTGGAGGAAGACGTCAGCTGAAATAATGTCAGCGGGGTGGGCGGAACTGCACAAATATCCTTTCCTCCGTTTTGCTGACGGGGAGTCCGTTTTTGTATTATATTTATTGGTGGTAAGTGGGGGTGGCCGTTATTTTTGTGGCCTCTGAAGCCTTGATCTGACATCCGAAGGCAGCCCTGTTTAGGGAAGTTTTTAATATTTAATGCTGTATTATTTTTAACACTTGATGGGGAGACTCAGCAGATGGGCGGGGTATAAATAAATAAAAATAATAATTTATTATTATTGATCTGCGCGGTCGGTGTGGGAGTGAGTTGCAATCAGATGCATGTCAAGATTTTAGTAGGACTCGTTAGTAGGGTTTTCTTAGGGCTCTCCTATAAATGTCCAGGTTTTCTTTGCTTTGAAATTCAATATCGGCAGGTGTACTCCAGCCAGTTTCTTCAGAGCTGGTAGCATGCTTTCCCCAGAGGTGGTTATGGTTATTCCAGGGGTGGGTCCAGCAGTGGATAGGTGCCCATTCCATCCTTAATAGTAGCCTGCTCTCTCCTTAAAATCACCCCAAGCCTTATTGCCCTGTTCAGATACTGCATTTGATGAGTTAACAATCATTGCAACTGATAACTCAATATGTAGTATTGTTACCAAGTAGGGTATGTAAGAAATGGTTGTAATGAGTAGATAGTACAAAGGAATGAAAAATCCATCCGAATGTAAGAAGCTGCTTTATGCTGGTTAAAGCTATTACCCTGTCAAGCCCAGATTTCTTATTCAGTCTAGCAGCAGCTTAGAGAATTTGTCCCTTTCCCAGGTTTGCTGAGATTATTTAGCCAGCACTTTAGTACTGTACACACAAAGCATGGGCTTTGGCACCGAGATCTAGTTGCCCCCTATTGTGGTTCTGTGCTTGACAGGATTGGTCTTCTATTGTATTCTTCTCAGCCATGGATAAACTGAAGGTGACTTCAAATGTGATGGATTTTGTGCCCCTAAGCCCTGCGGTGTAGGGAGAAATGTGCATATAGCATGCATATTTTTTAATACAGTGATTAGATATAACAAACTGGATGTGTATGAACTTGAATAGGGAGACTGCAGCCATTTTCAATGGCACGGGTCTGTGATTGTTGCACACCACTACATGCAGTTTGTATTATAGTACTGCCTGTACAAAATTTGTCCTGCTAGAAGCAGTCTTGGATAAGTCACTTTGTTCAGTCTGTCCCATGATCTGTAAGACTGATATCACACCATATCTCAGAGTAGGATAGTATCATGAGAATGACAGAGTTGTTGTGTTCAAGTTCTCTGTACATGGTGCTGTATTAAAGACTGCTATATTAATGCTTAATGCAACTTTTTTTTTGTACTATGCCCTTTTAAAATGTGGTTTTTTTGTAGGGGGGTTACTGGGCTGTTGCTGTTACAGATAGGTAGCCGTGTTGGTCTGCCATAGTCAAAACAAAAAAAATTCCTTCCAGTAGCACCTTAAAGACCAACTAAGTTAGTTCTTGGTATGAGTTGGTCAACTTAACTTAGTTGGTCTTTAAGGTGCTACTGGAAGGAATTTTTTTTGTTTGGGCTGTTGCTGTTTTTATTATGTATTTCGTGGTTTTATATTTTGATTTTATTCTGTAAACCGCCTGGGACCTCCATGTATAGGGTGGTATAGAAATTAAAACATAAATAAATAACTCTACCCAGTATAATGTGAACTTTTAAAGTGAGTTAGCACATAATGTCGCTTTAACATGAGCCTTAAAGTGTGATGAAGTACAAATTTATAACCAGTTTACTAACTATGTGATAGGAGAATCTAATTCTTCTGTTTGATTATGACTTCTAAATGCCACAGCACTTGCAGCATAAATAAATGTTTAATCAGAAGTACTGCTATATTCTCTTGGTCATGTTGCCAGGTATGTGTATTGGATAGCAGTCTTATTTTTTAATAAAAATAAACCTTCTGAAGTAGGTGTGTTCTCTCTCTCCCCATTTAATCAGTCAGTTAATTTTTTTATTTATAGGCCTTCTTCCAAGGTATTTCAGAATGCATTAAAATGACACAACACAACACAACTGAAAATAGAATTGCAGCCTTGGGTTTGGAAACCATATGATTATGCCTGATGTCTAGATCCAATTGCTCAGAGCCTTATAAGCCAATATATTTAATCAGAAGCAGGTTCATTGATTTCATTGTGACTCACTTGCATATGAACACGTGAACCTGCCTTAAACTATCAGAGCATTGGTCCACCTCACTGACTATTGTCTGCTGCTGACTAGCAGTGACTTTCTAGGGTTTAAGTGTACATTGGTCTTAGAAAGAAATAAGTAAAAATGTTGTGTCAGGAAATATGTTCCATTATAAAACTTTTGCCTTAAGCCACAGTGCTTAGTCAAGCAAAATAGCTTTCCTAGTTCAATTTTATCTTTGTAGTGCATATGCATACAATACTGACTTGGTTTTAGGTCTCTTTCACACAAGATGGCTTCACAGGCATAACCAGGAGGGAACATGATGCATGATATTTCTGGGATAAAAATATCCAGGAAATGCTTTAACCCTAAGACAACCTGAACTCTTAATGAGGAGCATGATGATTGCTTTTCTTGCAGATTACCATGCAAAATAAATTGTTCATTCTGGGTCACCTGTAGGACAGTGAAATAGAGCAATGTGGAAGTGCCCGGAGGAAATAACCATTTGTGCAAAAACACATCCGGCTTTTTAGTCACTAAGACTTCGGCCAGGAAATTCTTCATGTGAGTGCTGGAATGTTTTACAAAATTTCATAAATTGCAAACGAAAAATGTTCATAGACAGTAATATCTGTAGATTTGTGGAACACTTTTAATATCCTTAAATTTTTATATACACAAGTGTGTCACAATAAATTTAGGACATTAAATATTCTTGAATGAAGACCCCCTGAAGAAGAGGAGGAATCTTTCACTGTGGATCTGTCATAGTGAAATATGTTGTAGATAACCTTCCTGTGAATATATTTCAGTTTGTGAGAGTATAGTATTGACATAGTTTTTCATTAAAGCTGCCAAAGGGGAACAGAGCAGGGCATTCTCTAAATTAACAAGGTTGCTGTGAGCCTTATGAATACTTAACACAGTAGAAATTGCATTGTTTCCCTTTGTTCTCTCTGTTTACCGCATGTATGTAGTTGGAGACTAGTACTGAATTAGTCCTAGAAATATTGTAGAGAATTCAGTGCAGCCATGAGCTAAGATTACTGAGTTGTTTTATATAACATTGGACAAGTTGTATGCAAAGTGTTTCAGATTATTTTCCTTTCAGAATTAAAACAGTATTTCCTAGAAGGCCAGGTAATTCTGAGGAAGAGATGTGTTCAGTGGCTTGGCACTTGATATACTATATTTAAATTTATTGAGGTTAGGCAAGTAAGTCTACACTGCTGTCCTTTTATGGTCATGTAACAGATTTTCACTCCAAATACTAAAACTATTGTGTTAATACTTAGTTTTTGGTCGAGACCCTAACTGTGCTAGCTGGATAGAAACTTAAAGGACATGGGTTGTTAGTGTTTGCCTGTTCTCATCAAAACATTCTGACTGAAAGTTTCAGGCTTAGTTCAGCTGTAACATTGAAACTTTGCTATTAAATCCTTTCTATAGCCCACATAATATTTTAAGCCTAGTCAGCCTTGTAACAACATTTTATCAGTATGTGGCAAGCTAAGTTCATGTCTCTTCGTGGCTGAGAATGTATTTGAACCCAAAGCCAACATACTAGCCACTGATTGGACACAAAATGTGATCCTGAGAGTAGTTACAGACTTTGATAATAGTTCTTAAAGCCAGTGTGGGATTTACATTTACCTGGTAATATTGGTCAGCAGTTTGTTATTAGCAGACGTTTGGGTTACAGAAGTTGCACCGACAGCTGACTTGGGTATACTTGCTACATTTCTACTTTGCTCATTCCTAAGTCCTTCACTGCTGAATTGTCATATTTCATGATCCTTAGTTTGTCAGAAGTAGACTGTGTCTTCCAAATGTTCCAGGCTCAATTCCAGCCAGTGTGGCCAATGGCCAGGGATGATGGAAACTGTAGTTCAGAATATCTGAATGGCACTGTGTTGAGAAAGGCTTCTCTAAACTATTTACTCTGCATTGTTACTTTAAATTCTGTGTGAGTTTGTGGCTCCTAACCATACTTCTTCCTAGAAAGTTAGGCTGCAATGCTAACCCCATTTATCTGGGAGTTAGTCCTGTGGATTTCAGTAGGACTTACTTCTGAATAGATACGACTAAAACTATTCTGTTAAAGTCCTATTAAAGACAGATGTTTAGAAAACAATTTCATTTTAGGTTCTAAAACATTTGTACTCATTGAGCAGGGACATATACCACACATCTTCTTGAGCTGCAGCATAAATTTCCAAACCAAAATGTTAATTTTCATAGAATCATAGAATCATAGAATCATAGAGTTGGAAGAGACCACAAGGGCCATCGAGTCCAACCCCCTGCCAAGCAGGAAACACCATCAGAGCACTCCTGACATATGGTTGTCAAGCCTCTGCTTAAAGACCTCCAAAG